ACATCCATCCATCCATCCATCTAAACTTTCGCATTTATAATATTAGTAAGAAGTAAGATAATTCATAAGTAACCCTATTTTCAAAAAGATTCTGTTTAAGTCATAACCTTTCGGAGATTGGGCTTTGGGTTTAAGTGTATCAGACGAGACATTTAACTTCGCTCAACAAAAAATCAGACGAATTCACAAACTCTTTCTTTCGGGAAGTCAATTAAAAATGGAATTAACAAGATCCATTAATAATTTTCAATGATCTGAGTGAGATTTTTTATTTCCGTTTTGTTAACGAATTGACTGGCAACATCGACAGCTGTCATTGCAAAGAAATTGCGGCAAAGGGTTCATTAAACGTATCAAGGGCGCCAAGGACGGTAAAAGTTGTCGAGAACCGGTTGGATTTTTAACCTACATCTGAAAATCAGTTGCGATTCGTGAAAGGAATAAGTATACGTTTTAAGCATTAAAGTAAATATTATCAAGTGTACGGATTTTTATTACCTTTATTACGTAAATTTTCGGGCTGTTTTTAATGAGGGCCGATAACAAACCTTCTTGCGTGCAATGAGGAAGTGTCACAACCTTCAGACTTTAAGACCGTTTTTGATTATTCAATAATGTAAAGATTAATTTTTATGCATTTCCCTTTTGACTGTTACAGTTTTGAATACGAATAATATAGCGAATTTATTATATTATACAAATTACATAGATAAACTTTTCTTTGCCTATACATCCTAAACAAATGAGCAAAAATGTATTGTTAACACTGTTTTATGATAAGAAATGATACTACATTTAGTTGTTTTTTGCCATGTTTTTTTTTAGGAATTTGCCTATAATTGTTTGGTTTATTGTCAATTTTTTATTAACTCCCGTGAAATAGACGTGACAAGAGATGAGGCCAGGGAGATGACAATAACATAATACGTTTTTGTATGAGTTTCGTTAGTGAAAGAAAAAACATGTTCACCAAAAAGTATTAAAAAATTTATCGTACAATTTTCAGCTTTTGAGAATTTTAAAATATCCATTAAGATATTAAAATTTCAGGACATATGAAATTCTAAACTTGCCTCTATAAATTGAGGGGAACATTGTGGGCTGCCTTGGGGAGGGCAATGTCTTTTGTTCTTGCTAAGAGCGCTCGGTGCGGCAAGACTTGTGTTTGGATAACCAGTTGCTATATCTACAAATATGGAACAATACACGACAAAGTTTACCTTTTGTGACGTGAATTCTGCTTGTGCAAGCGTCGAGCACGGTTTTTACGTTATTTTTAAACTCTAAATTGGCATGACTGTGCTATTTTTATAGTCGAGTAAAGCTTTTCAAATCTTGAAACGAAATATGATCATAAACTTACGAAATGCAAGAAAAATATTTGTTTTCAAATTAGAAATATGGCAAACAAAAACAGCCTCGTTAACGCTATCAAATATTCTGTTGGAATAAATTAAATATTACATTAATATGCAAATAATTACGAAATATATATTTTAGATGTTTACACTCTTATTGTACACTTATTAAGAAAGTCAATTAAAAAATCTCAATAATTACGATTTTAGTACATCGTTAGCTTACGTATTCTGAAGTCTGAACCTTTGTCAAGTTATCCAGCAGATTTTAGTGACTATTTAGAGTACGTAACGCAACCTAAAAGGGTAGGCAAAGAACACGGAATTCCATTTTTTCGCGATCCTAACACACTTCTCGAAACAATTGAATAATCTGTACAGATATCACTTGTTTAAATAATGCAATATTGGATGAAAATGAAAATGGAAATGAAACTTTACAATTACAACAAAAATCTTTCCTATATTTAACATATACGCAGTACAGACACGAGTTTTACAGTGTCAAGGGTAAGATCATTTTCAACCTAGACCCGTGAGCAAATATTTGATAGCTATATAGATGTATACTATGACCACTAGGTCACACATAGTGACACGAGTGTTTGTCAATATTGAGCATTGGTGTTCAAACTGTTCCCAAGGATGCGTATCGAAACACATTTAATGAAATATGAAGAAATGACGCCACTACACATTGGTAATTAACCAAAACTAGATAACTAAAGTAGTTATTTCAGATTTTTGCACTATTTATGAGAATTGAAAGCAATAGTTAATAAGTAAATCAATATGCAATTTAGGTCTTGCTTGTTGTACGCATAATTACCTTTCTCTTTGATTTCTTAGCAAATCCCTATTTAATCCAACGCTAAACAAGTTCTCTTGATAGATTGGTATGATATACGATCCATAGTTCGTCCGTAATGATAAACAGATTAATAAAAAAGTGTTTAAAACTGAGATTTTGATAAAGAATTCTCTCTTTTTTGTCCACTATGTTTTTTGTTTCAATATACATGATTGGAGATTATATTTTGATCTGTTCAATCTACCCTTAATACTCGTAAGTCGGAACAAGTTTGCACATACATATTCAATTTTATCGCTAATCGATCCGTACAATGATTCCAAAAAAAGTAATTGATGGATTTAAAATAAATTAATTCATTTTTTTTAAATTCATTTTTTCATTAATTCATTGATTCATTCGTCGGGCATTCCTAAAGCGCACTACACACGCTCGGTTTTATCTGAACAGTCCGATAAATCTAACAAAACTGGTTACTATTCAGTTCTCAGTTTTGCTTACACACGTTAGATATGACCGATCCGACTGTTCAGATGAAACAGAACGTATGAAGTGGACTTTAAACATTCCGTAAACATTCTCTTTGAAAATATGTGTGGATTAAGTAGAAAATCACGCTTAGATCTAAAAACTATACTAATACTGAAAAAAAAGATTTGTTTTGTATGTAATGAAATAACTCAAAAAAATTTAAGCCGATTACTAAAATACATTGACCATTAGAAAGCTACGTTATTAGTAACATATTTAAAATTTCACGTGGACGAAGTCGGGAACAGCAAGTAGACAATATATTGAATGAAATAAACGTTAAAGGAGCGTTAAAAGGGCATGCAAAAGCAAAAAAATAATAGTGTCTTGTATGAAATATGTCCTGTCTAACGATTGATGTAAAATTCGTGATCGCAAATAAAGCGATGTAGATCCGTCAAGGTGAACACGTCATAGGTATTTGTATGAATGTAATAACACTTTCTCCTTCAGTAGAAAATCAAAACCGGATCCCGTTATGTTATTTGGTCCATACAAGATTGAAATTGCAATGTAATACTCTCATGTGATAGTTTAATTTGAAAGCTATATTCAAATGATGATTGTTGCATTAATTCTTTTTTTAATTTCATGTTAAGGAAATAATTGAGTTTCAGAAAAAAAAACTTTAAAATGTATAATAATAAAACATATATGAAAATATAAGTACTTAAAGTTGAGAGTACTAATTGTTTTATTAAATCAGTACTGACATTACAAATAGAAAATATACTGAAGAAATAAAAGTAATAGTGTTTAAAAGTATTACGGATTGTTCTTTTCTGATGTATACGTTTTAACCTTTTCTTGATACATTTTATGTTTCGCTTCAAGTTTTTTTAAAGCACTAGACGGTCGTACTCCACTAAAATTCACCATAAAACTAATATGGACAGGCGGTACATCATCTGTTTTATCCACCATTTGAATAGTTTTGTATTGCGCGGATTTCTTTCCTAATTCATGTTCTTCTTGATTTTTAGCCCTTGCTTTGTGATCAATATTGTTTAGTTTAGTTTTAGTTTCTTTCGATTTACTTTGATAAACATTGTGTACTTTGTCAATTTTGTCTTTCTTATATTTGTCTTTTTCATTTAAATAATTTTTGCTGTTTTGTGTGTCATCAGAAAATCTAAACCCACCTCTTGTTTTTAAAAAAGACTTTTTTTCTTTATTCTTCTTAACTAAGTACGAAGAATTTGTTGCACATTCGACTTGTTGATTTTCAATTTTACTACTTTGTTTTGCAGATGATTGCCTCTCTGTTTTCTTTTCTTTCTCTAATTCTATTGACTTTTTATAAATCTTCACTCTGTTTTCCATTCTAACCTTTTCGGAATATCTCTGGAGACTTCTGGCTCTTTCAAGCCTTGGTTTTATTTTCTCCATGTCTGGCCCTAAGCCACCTAACTTGACATTATGCAGTATCTCAATGGTGGCCCTTCTATCTGTTGAATGTGATACACGTTTAGGTAGAGATGCTTCAGACACACTCCGCAAATTATCTTTCTCGCTTACTGACTTATTATCATTATCTTCGGTCAAGCGATGTTCGAATTCAAAAGAATTATCCAAATATTGGTTACGTTCTTTCTCCAATAGTTTAGCGTAATACATTTCATTGTATGACTCGGTATTATGAAAATCATTGCTCACTGGATAGTTTGTATCCTCTCCAATACTTTCTCTTTCTGTGTCACCAACCTCAGGTGATAAAGAACGTATGTCTTGTTCCAATGGCGTATCATCGTCTAGTTTTAAGTTATTCTTTTTACGAAACACCTCTAAGTAGGAAACTCGCGGTGGGTTAGTCGTTCGTTTGTTAATCAAATAGTTTTTAACAGGTTTGTTGGTAGATTTTCTATCATCAGTGTTGTGATTCCATCGTTGTGCCTTTGGTACTTTTATCAATACATCTTGTTCATAAAACGGCACTAGTATTGTGTCAACATTCTCATCGACGTATTCATTTTTAATAGACGCTTTTTGTTTGAAATTTTCTTCTAAACTATCCAAGGACATTTTGCTTTCGACGTCTGAATTTTTTGCCATTTTTCTCGATTTAAACGACTTTTTTCTTTTACTCGTAAAAAGATAGGATGTCATTTGAAATGACAATACAAATTTATTTTCATAAAAATTGACAAACCGCTATGAAATAAGGTCTTATATTTTTTATTGTTAAAAATACAGGGTCCAGAAATTAATTAAAAATCATAACTTTCATAGAATATTTCAGGGTATAACTACATTGCTTGATCATAACATTAATTAGTTTTAAGGCAACGCATCTATGGGTATTTGTCGCTTCGCATCTATCGAATTCAGGAGGCCGCTTGCTGGTGCCATATTATGATATTAAAAAAAACTAAACAAAGGCTTGTTAAACTCCGGTCAACCGAACTATCACAGAAATTGACCACTTTCAAATACTTACAGTTTAGAATATCACAGAAAATTAAATTAAAAATGGTTGAATCAACAAAAATCACTCACTTTAGCATAGCAACAGACAAAACTGATTGGGAAACTGCAACAAAATGCGATATAAGGAAAATAAAATCGAATGAAGTAAACACGTTTGATTGCTTTCAAATTAGATCATAAATACATAATGCAATATTAAAATATCGTTTGAACATCTTTATAAAGCCGTCAAGCAGGAAATGGAACTCATTACAGAAACATCTGATAAATTTATAGTAATTTATTAGGTCATCTACTTTATATAGATATTTTTAGGTGTTTTAATTTTATCTTTATGGTATTCGTGACATTTAAAATAAAATTTGTAACAGCTAAAAATGTTAATCTAAAGTGTTCAGAATATAAAATAATTACACGTTTAGTTACTAAATATTTGACGCATAAATGACTAAAGAGCACCTAATTTTTAACTGTATGTAAATAATGAAGGGATATATGAACAGTAGACTATATCTGTATCTACACTATCTATACTAATAAAATAAAGCGTGAACACTACTTTGTGGAGTAGGATGTCAGCAATCACAGCATAATTTTAAATAAATAATTCTTTAATAAAAATCCATACATTTATGACACGCTTTAAGCTATATATTTTCACGCTATTAAACTTAGGGGGTAAATGAATAAGAAAAAACCTTCATGTGGGAAAGGGACCATGAACTACAAGCTACCAACATTATGAAAGTAAAGTTATTACGGTAATGGTAATTTTGACATTTGCTATTGAGAAATGACAAATGTAAACAGCAAAATAAAGTTTTTATAATTTCATGCGGATAAAGCCGCGCGCGAACAGCTAGTCGCAAATAATTCCACAAAAAATACTACTTCAAAAGTCTAAACAAACTTTTCCTGCCATCAACTAAATTATAGTAATCAGAGAAATGGAAATGAATTCAGCGCTCGAAGTTAACAAAACAATTTTCATAGCTACGACATAATGACGTTCATCCAGAAAGTAACAAAGAAGTGTACATTTGCACGATCCCAGTTGGGCTAGTGCCAAAACTCAGTGATAAGGGATTTGGGGCAAGCCATTCAGTTAACGGATTTGCGTTTGTATTACCAACAGTATTGTAGAGTTTATATGAAGTTGTGATTGCCCAGTTAAAATTTGGTAAGCGATCTTTTGTAATGTTGATAACAACTATGACGTCGTAGTTCAATATTATTTTTATATTACTAGTATTATTAGCATATTTACATTAAATCAGTGATGCATTAATAATACTATACAATTAACATATATATTAACTTTTGTAACTTCATCACCAAAATGAGATGTCAAGGTCAAACAAGGTGAGTGTGACCGTAGGTGTCAACTGACAATTAACCATATAAAGAAATATTGTTATCTCTGTCTTTGAAAAGAAAAAGAGAGGGATAACAACATTTCGACAGCAAAACGCCTAGAACGGTTTGCAAAAAGTTTCTGTAACGTCGACAATTGTGCAGCCCTGTCGGGCGTAAAACCAACAATGTCGATAACATTACGAATAGTTTCTTACAATTTTTGTTAAAGACAATGTACGATTTTATAATATAAACATACGTATATGTACAGACATATATAGAACGAAGAACTGACATATATAGAAGCTCAGGCTTCCGTCAATATTGTCGTGTTAACAAGCGATCATCCCGAGATTGAAATATTTCTTTTAAAACACAAATGAGTGAAACAAAAAGCTGTAGGTGGGAACGTTGAGACCTTATATTGCGATAATTTCAAAGGTGAACGAGTTGTACGTTTCATCCTCCTTTATATAGGGAGCGTCCAAGGACAACAACTGAGATAAAATAGATTTAGAGCAGTTTTATTCAAGACTGCACCATATATGATACGCTAAAGTCGATGAATTTTGTATTATTAGTTAGTTTGCATAAAAAATAAGACATAACTGCACTCAGCGAATTTTAAGAGTTACATAAGTAGCCCCTTAGTGTGAATTACAAAACACATACTAAACTTTAGCTAAGAAATCCCTTAGTAACATTGATGATAGTAATACTTAAGCAATAATAAAAATAGAGTATCTCGCTGATATAATATTTTTGTACTACTTTTCATACTGTTAAGAAGAAAATTAGTACCGCGCAGAATTGGCGCAACACTGGCTTTCGGCATACGTCACATCCCTAACTGTCAGCTGTCAATGTCATTAGACATATTTGATTTTTGCGCGCGATCCTGGCGAGAAGTGTGTCTCTGAGTTTTTAAGTTATCACGATAGTATCAATTTTAATTATAAATTAACATATGATCTATTTAAAGTTATACATATTGTGATACTTGTAGTGTTTTTATTACTAATTTCATGTTTTAAATGTTCAAAAACTTTTGTTATATCACCCAAAATTGACTATAAAAACTTACGTAATAAACCAATCATATATTAGACATGAAAATAGGTTAATATACAATTTTAATGCAATCTAAACGAGATGGACATATTCTAGACTATTCCACATATTTATTCATATAACTTGTTAACCTTACACAAATTAAACAATAATAAAACATCACGCATCAAACTAATCAGATGAGCATTGACATTTAAAACATTGATTTATAGATGAAACCCAAATGACACAGTTATACTTAAAAAATGGAAACAGGTGTGTCAAATGTTAACCGGTCTATAATTTTTAAATCCTTTAATTCTTGGATATGTCTTGTTTATTAGCTTAATATTTTATTATTAAAATGTATCACATAAATTATATTACGAAATATTACTCTTATATTCTAAAAAAACCTTAGTTTTTCAAATGCCATGCACATTTGTGAGTTCAAAAGTTCAATATTTAAATGTATTGATTTAATTTCGATTTTTATGTTTTAGAGGATTTTCTATTAAAGACATCAAGATCAGTACGGTTATGAATAAGGGATATTTAATTTGTACGCATTTAAAATTATATTTAACTATAGGTTTGGTAATTTTATAATGAAGTACAAAGAAAGATTTATTTTTTTATATGTATTGAAATAATTGAAAAACTACTGACTCAATTTCAACTACAACCACTTTAACCAATAAATAGCTACGTCATGACTGAATAATATATGCTATACGTTTATTAAAAAGAAACCTTTAGTTTCTTTTCTTCTTAAACTAGTCATACTAATATTATAAATGCAAAAGTTTAGATGGATGGTTGGATGTTAGTTAGAGTTTGTAGCCAAAACGGCTTTAACGGATTTCGATAACATTTGGTATCAATGTAGAGGATAGTCTGGAAGAACACATAGGCTACTCACTTTTGTTTTTTTGTAATTCCACGCAGACGGAGTCGCGGGCGAAAGTTAGTACCTAATATTACTAGGAAATAATAGAAAAGTATTTCCTATTAATCGACTTCAAGACAGAAGATGTTCTAGATATATCTCTATTTCGAAGAAAGTTGAAGGACGATAAATCGAAGTCTGTCGTAGGTGTTTTATATGAAATGTCCGAACAAGGTGACACAAATTAGGATCGTATATATAAGTGTAATATATTTAGCATGATATGTGGCTCAAGGTGGAACGCTGGTGCCAAATTGACAATACTCGCTGTTCAAGCTTGAGTGAGGCAAGGTCATGAACATACACTTAAGTCATCCCATACAGACACTTTATATTTTTAAAACTTACTAACGCCCGCGAACCCGTCAGCGTGGAATTAATAAAAAATGAGTAGCCTATGTCTTCTTCCACACTATCCTATACATCTATACCAAATTTCATCGAAATCCGTTCAACTATTAAGGATACACACATCATCCATTCATCCATCCATACATGTAAACTTTCGTATTTATAATATTAGTATGAATTATAAGCCGTTTATAAAACTATTCTACTAATAAACACCATTTCCAATAATATAATGTTTCTAATGTTTTATACGAAAGTTTTGATTGATGGACTGAGTATAAGTTATTTTCTACTACCGCTCTAATGAAGTCGCGTGTAAAAGCTAGTAAAAGTGTATTATTATAAACATTTCTATTTTAGAGATTACAACTAAAGTTAACTAATGTCCAATTATTAGAAATATTCATATGTTATTTAACCTCTGTTAAAATAACTTTCATATTAACTATTACATCTTTATTTATCGAGATATCTAAAATACATAAAGAATTTGATGAACTGATAAAGACCAAAATGTTTCAATCGCATATTATTTTTAAAATGAATCATTAATCTAAGATGTTTGCAGCAATTATTTTTTTAATTCGCTCTACATTATTAATTAGATATGCATTCTCATACTCCTGAGAGTAATTTATCTTGAATTTGCAACTATAATAGCTATAGAATTGGGTCTAAAATGCAATACGCTAAACTGAGGTTCATTTAAACCGATAAATGCACTTGGCCCACATAGATGTTAGATTCCGTTTGTAGTTATTATCAAGTGATTTTGAACCTTACTATAACGGTATAAAGATGAAAATAACTTTGTTTTACTTCAAGGCACGTAAGGTGTTAATTAATTTTTATATTCGATAGCATCAACATATCAATCTTTAGGATGTTCTTTATTTGTTTGAATATCAACTTTGTTATAATTATATGTTATGTTCAAGCTTCGGTTAAGAGTCTATGGTTCAGTGGTTACACTC